ACACACACACACACACACACACACACACACACACACACACACACACATGCATATTCTGTTTATGTCACACGACAGTCCTATACAGTATTTCTCTCTCTCTCTCTCTCTCTCTCTCTCTCTTTGGAGACACAGTCTCATGCATCCCAGGCTGCTGACTTCATAGCTGCTGTACCTTACGAAATAAGCATGTGGTAAACTATATATTTATTTCCTGCTGCTATGCCAAACATCCAACTAAAGCAACTTAAGAAAGGAGGGAGTTATTTCATCCCATAATGCAAGGGTACTATTGTCTGTCATGGTGGGCTGGGCATATCCAATGGGATTATGGCCCGTGGTCCCTTTGTGTCTGCAGTCAGGAAAGAGAGAGAGAGAGACAGATGTTGTGCTCAGTAAACTTCCTCCTCCGTTTCACTCCTGGTGTTGAGTCCATGAGAAGCTGCTGCTCACACTTAAGATGGGTCTTCCTACCTTAACACAGACTAGAAACTCATAGACATGCCAAGAGATTTGTCTACTAAGTGATTCTAGATCCTGCAAAATTGTCAGTAAATATTAATTATCACCCAGCAGCAATTAAGCAATGAGCTTAGTACTATTGATCTAAAAGTACTTGTCAATCCCTGCTTTAACAATGTTTCTACTTAGGCCGGGCGGTGGTGGCACATGCCTTTAAGCACTTGTGAGGCGGAAGTAGGTGAATCTCTGTAAGTTTGAGGCCAGTCTGATCTACAAAGTGAGTTCCAGGACAGGCTCTAAAGCTACACAGGGAAACCCTGTCTTGATAAACAAACAAACAAACAAACAACCAAGTTTCTACTTATCGTCAAGCTTTGTAATGTTAACTAAAACATAGCACCCAGGCAACATCCAAACCAAGTCATATAGACTCACTATGAGAACACCTTTACACGGTGGTAAAATCACAGGAGTTGGACACCAGTAAGCAGCAAGCATGGAGTAACCTACGCTGGATTTCCTACGACCAACATTTGTATTTCATTGCTTTATTGATACCCAGAGCTTTGGCCTGTCTTTTTGAGAAGGCGGCTGGTGTGGGGATGGGAACAAACCAGCTGGAATCACTTCCTTTGTTTTCAGTGCTCTCACTTGCAGCCTTAGGGGAGCACTTGTGAGTCCTGTATATAATAAGACGGCCTCACGGTCATGCTTTTCTGACCCTGGCTAACCTATGCAGCTATCATTTGCCTTGGCATTTTATACAATGTCCTCTGCCATTGTATTTCATTATTTTCCTTCAGCACAGCTCTCTGCTCTCCAATTTTTCCAGTCGTTTTCCGAACCCCTCCACTCCAAGTCTGAAAAACTGCTCACAAACAACAGAGAAGTGGGATTGAATGTGGACAGTGAAAACACAGAGACGGGGAAGAATGCAGGCCTCGTTCTTTCGCTAGCAGGAAGAATAGAGAAAATGTCAGCTTGTCAGCTTGGGTCAGGTAGAGCAGCATGGTAACCAGTTCTCTGTGTCCTTGTGGAAGTTACACAGCTTCTTTGTAACCAGTTTCTTCTCCTCCTCATCCTTCTCTTTCTTTCTTCTTTGTTTCTTTGTTTCTTTCTTTGTTTCTTTCTTTCTTTCTTTCTTTCTTTCTTTCTTTCTTTCTTTCTTTCTTTCTTTCTTTCTTTCCTTCTTTCTCTCTCTCTCTCTCTCTCTCTTTCGTCCTTTTTTTTTCTTTCTAAATAAAACAGCACTAAGTGGAGGGATTTGAAGAGATAGTCCAGTGGTTAAGAGCACTTTTTGCTCTTGCAGAGGACTAGAGTTTGTTTCCTAAGATCCACATCATCAGCTTGGAGCGGCCTACAACTCTCGCTCCAGAAGATCCAATGCACGCTTCTGGCTTTTATAGGCATGCACAGCCTCTCTCTCTCTCTCTCTCTCTCTCTCTCTCTCTCTCTCTCTCTCTCTCTCACACACACACACACACACACACACACACACACACACACTCTGGCTCCAGAAGACTGGGGGTGCTCTTGTAGCCTCCATGGACACTTGCATTCAACCGCACATATACACTGACAGATATAGGCACGTGTACTCACACAAATGCTGAAAGTAAATCTTTAAGGGGTGCTGGAGAGGTGACTGGGAAGGTAAGAACACTTTTACTCTTACAGACAACCTGGGTTCAAATTCCAGGACCCGCATGACAGCTCACAATCCTTGATCCATAATTTCAGTTCCCAAAAACTCAGTGGCCTCTTCTAACTTCCTCAGGCACAAACATTGCATACAAACACGTATGTGAGGGAAGTATTCATGCATATAAAATAAAAATTCCTAAAAGTATAAATCTTTTAAAAGTGCAAGCGCCCCCTTTCCACATTCATTCCAATAAGGTTTAAGTACTACTTGCATCATGTTCAAACTAAATAAAAAAAAGAGTTTAATTTAATTAGAAATAAATTTCTTTCTGTTTCTGTTCCCAAAGGCAGCTTCTTCCTCATTATTTCATTTGTGTTCTCCTCAGCTGTTCATGAGGATTTTTGTCTTGTCTTAATAAATTGAAAATCTGTTAAAAATAGGATAATTGAACATCAAATGCAACCAAGATAAAACTGGAAACAGGTGTCCCATGATAAAAACTGTGACAGTGTGCTGAGAATTGTTTTCTATGGTTTCCATAACAACAGTCTAGATTTCTAGGGGAGGTGTCATTAGATGATTGTTATTCTCTCTTCATTAAAAGAATTCTAAGCTACTAATTCTCAAATAGATTTTTTCCTCATTTTTTTATCAAACCAATTTTCACTTGTTTTAATGTAGGATATCTGAGTTCTAGTCAAAAAAATAACTAAAGAAGAAGCAGATGGAGTTCATTCATATCTTCATTTTTGGAGTCAATTAATAAACAGCCTTGGACACTGGCGCGATGGCTCCATGGGTAAACATGCTTGTTGCCCAAGGCTGGCAACCTGATTTCAAACCTTGGGACTCAGGAGGCAGAAAGAGAAAACCAACTCCTACAACTTTTTCTCTGGTCTATACGTGTACACCACTGCATGCTCACACTCACACCGACCCCATAAATCAGTAAATAACATGTATTAAAAACTGAACCTATGAGTATGGACATAACTCACTGGTAGAATACATTAAGAACCTGGCCAACGTGTTCAAGACAATGAACTCACCCTGCAGTCACCAAAGACACACACACACACACACACACACACACACACACACACACAAAACTCTTTGTAATCAGGTGGCGTTTAGTAACTCACATAGGATTAACATTGTAATTTAATAATGTTCTTTCTAGATATTAGAATAGCTATTCTAACTGTAAAATATAAAAAAAATCTTTTTATGTGGCCAATTTAAGCATTTTATGAGTTTATAGTATTTATTAGTGTTTTTGCATAGTTGTGTTTACTGTGCATATATGTACATACACATTTTTATTCTACTTGTATGTATCTTAAATTAAGAATTTTAAGTTGTTTGATATTTTATTTATTAACTGTCACTTTTGATTTCATCTAAACATGTAGTTTTGGGTCTAGATATCTAAAATATTTAAAAATATTATGAGAACTTTAAAAATGCTGCTCGAACAGCTATCTAATACCCTTCTGTTGATTTTACATGTATGTTTAATCTCTTTGCAAACTACTGAACATTATCTCTAATTTTTAAATCATTAATCACTATTAATTTATTGCCTTAGAATACGTTTTGAGAATGCAGATGACTAGGTTAAAGGGCCAGGACTTAGAGATCCCCGTCCAATATCCCAACTTCAGCTTAGCAGCACAGCTTGCTGAGTCCAAACCTCAGTGAGCATGTTTTCTTAAGATCTTCATTCAAGATTGGGGACTATCGGGGTTCAGATAGCACCAACTGCCTGGCCTCCAACATAAAGCAAGAACTAGGTTTCTAAATTCAACATGAATTAATGATGAAACACACTTGGATATTTCATCCGTGATCCCAAAGCAGGGGTGCTCTGTAAAAGAGAAGAGCTGGGTAGCCACCACCTCTTCCTGTGTTTATGTAGTCACCTGTCCTACTATTTCTGGATTACACCAACCCTGGAACTTCCGGAAGAGAGAGCTCCACCTGCCTCCATATCGTCTCTCTGTATGATCAGTTCTGGTAGATCACAATGTTCTTTGGAGGAAGGTCAGAAAGAAGAGACAGGGGTGTTTATTAAGGCATTAACATAATCTGACAATGGTGAGAATTCAAGACTTGTGGAATAAATAAATAATAAATCAACAAAACAGAATCAGATATTAATTCACCAGCCTTGCTTTTCAAGTATGCTAAGTGGGGCATTCTCATACCAACTTTGGCAGGAAACCAGACTCCGTGAGACAAACAACACCATTAATGCATACTAGAGGTAGGAGTGAGCATCCCACAAGGATATTAGCTTCTCCTGACTCCTGAATGTCACATAATGTCACCTGTGCACAGGTGAGTACAGGTGGGGTCAAGACTGACACAGTGCAAGAAAGAAAAGACACACTTAGCTATCATATTATGAAGAGGTGAAGATGCAAACTTTTCTCTTAAATGAAAATTAATGTATCAGGAGCCTAAATGATATTTTGGGGTGTAAAAGTGCTTGATGCAAAAGCCCGATGGTTAGTGTATACAGCAGCACACTCATGAGAGAAGAGGAGCTACTCTACACATGAACTCATGCACTTGCACTCTTATGTGCACTCTCACACACATGATATTTATAGATTTAAAAAATTACATATCAGTAATGATAGCTGCCCCTTAAATTTGAGACAAAATTCTGTGTGGTGGCAGTCATAATTTTTTTGATAGACAGGCTCAATTTATGCAGTAAGCACTCGATATTTGTAGCTGGAATGGTTGTCTCTCTCTGCTCCTGTGAGCACAGATACTCTATGTGACTATTGGCATCCTCCCAAGCCAGTTCAAGATCTGCTTTTCTCATTTATAATATTAGAAATCCTGTAGGTAGAAATCTAGTAATGTTTTTTTTCTGAATATGGAAACTTCTCTTTTAAATTTTATTCCTGTGACCAATACTATAATAATTCCTGTTACTGTGCAATCACTGGTGTCCCAGAACCATTACGTTTCCTTTTGTGAAGTGGGGATGTGTATTTTTTGAGCTAAAACCGGGTTCTGAAATCTGTGGAGGAAGCCTGTAGATGACTCCTGCAGAGGGTTTTGTGGTGTGCAGGTGTGCACTGTGGGGTTTATGTGAAGAAAACTCAGGAAGTCAGTACTCAATGCTGTTGATGGGCAGGATTCAAAGCTACCTGGGCTAAGACTCCACCCTGTTTCCCCTCTGCAGATGACAGCAAAGCTAGACTCAGCAGCATCGCGCCCTCGGCTATGCTGGGTAGCCTTCTGGACGACCAGCACTGGCACTCGGTTCTCCTGGAGCGTGTGGGCAAACAGGCAAACTTCACCGTGGACACAAACACGCAGCACTTCCGGACCAAGGGTGAGACTGATGTCCTGGACATTGACTATGAGGTAAGTCATCCTCCCTGCTAGTTCCCAGGAGTAGGTTGTGTGTAAAGAGAACCTTTAAGTCCCTCCATCTGGGCTAGGTCTGGAAATGCCTTTGCCGAGCTGTGTGCAGCTGATGAGGTATCAAGAGTCCCAACTAAAATCAATACTTCTTTTTTACTTTCTGTATGCACATATGTATGCGTGTGGATAGTCGTGTATGCCTTTGTGTATGTATGTGCATGTGTGTAACTTATTTTCATTTCTGTTGCTGTGTAAACAAACAAACAAAAACAAACAACAGCAAAACAATCTGCTAACAAGGGGTTTATTGGTTTATGATTCTTGATTGTTACCCATCATTTCACAGAAGTCAAGGCAAGAGCTCAAATAGTCATTCATATTGCATCTACAGTCAAGAGCAAAGAGAATAAATGCAGTTTTATTATTTGTTTCTTGTCAAGAAGCTTTCTTCTCACTTATACAGTGCAGAACCTGCCACATGAGATTGTGTAGATTCAGACAGTTCTAATAAAGACTGAATTGATTCTTACTAGGTAATGCTAAGCCATAACAAGTGGGTCTTTAAAGCTAACCATGTGTATGTGTCTCTAAGTGTGTGTGTGTGTGTGTGTGTGTGTGTGTGTGTGTGTGTGCATGTGCATGCACATGCACGTGCTTATGGGTATATATGTACTTAAAGCTTCCGTAAGTTATTATCTATTAGTTACATATAGCCATTCATTTTTTAACAAAAGTTTTAATTAGTTGAAATATTAAAAGATACAGAAAATATTAACAAAATCTCGTTTGTGAACTAGAAAAATGGCTCAACTAGTAAAGGAATTTTCTGCCAAGTTTGATGACTTGAGTTCAGTTCCCCAGAACCACATGGTGGAATTCTTACTGCTAAAGATTGCCAGTGCTCTTAAAACCCATGCTCTCAGAGGGTCCCTGGTCTTTTACATCCATGCCCATTTGCACTTCTAACTAGTAGGCTAGAACTGCTTTTCCCTTTTCTGTGGTACTAGGGACTGAACCTAGAGCCATGATGGAAGAGATCAGTGAACTGCATCAAACTAAAGGAGTCTGCAGTTCTTCTAGTCTCATAGTCAGAGTATGACAGGTCCAGTGACCAGGGGACAGCGAAGAGAAGAACGGAACCCTCCTGGTAGGGCTGGGAGAAAAGGGGGCTTTCTGCTCACGCAGTGCAGCTCATGCCTTCCAGCAGGAGACCTCACTGGGTCTTTACCAAAGGATACAGTTCGCCTGATCAGAAGGTACAACCTAAGACGTGTACAGCAGGTTACAAGGTCGGAAACTTCAACAATGCAATGGGCAGAGTTTAAACAATAGCGGTGTTGTGCATACGTCAGCTAAGTACAAGAGGGCCGAAGACCAGATTTCTCAGGAATTTTGAAAGCTGCCTGGTAGACATTGTCTATAATTAAACCATAAACTGCATAAACTTGATTAAATAGGTTGGGAATTACATTAAATGAAATATTTTTGAGAAAATAAATTTGATAATTTCTAATTACTTTTCTATGTAATTGTTCCTCATTTATCTACTTGTACACCAGAATATTGTAACTGCTCTGTCTGGAGAAGGTCTTGTCTTATACCTATGATGTAGACAAATGCACCAATTTGAACTTCAACTCGTTGTTTTATAGATGGCCTGGGCTGGGAGTCTGCTAACCTTATACCTGATTGAAAGCTCATATTTCTATGGCTTAATTGTGGAAGGTTAATATTTGTGTGTGTATGCTTTTTGGGATTGATACTAGAGGTATTCACATGTTAGGAAGCCACATTACCAGTAAACTATAGACACAGCCTTTTCATTAGTGTTTCAATTAAATTAAAAACCATTATGTTATTTTAAGAGAGGATTTCATATAGCCCAGGATGCCATTGAACTCTCAAAGGATTAATCCCTCTGCCTTTATTTCCTGGGTACTAGGATTACAGGTGTATACCCCACATTCTCCTCCATTTGGTGCTAAAGTTAATTTACCAACCACTGCCCCCCCACTCCGTTTTTTTCGTTTTTTGAGACAGGGTTTCTCTGTAGTTTTGTAGCCTGCCCTGGAAGTAGCTCTTGTAGACCAAACTGGCCTAGAACTCACAGAGATCCGCCTGATTCTGTTTCCCAAGTGCTGGGATTAAAGCATGCACCACCACCGATGGCCCCTTTTTAAAAAAATTCAAGAAAAGATTTCATTAAAATATCTACGTTATTCTACTGAGTATGGATATACAGGCCTGTTCCACCAGACGGATAAGACTGATTTTCCCCCCTTCTTAAAGGTTCATAAAAGAAGGAAAGGTGGGAGGAAAGCAAAGAAGGAAGGAAGGAAGGAAGGAAGGAAGGAAGGAAGGAAGGAAGGAAGGAAGGAAGGAA